GGTCCCAGGTTCGATTTCGGTCAAGGGCATGTACCTTGGTTGCGGGCGCATCCCCAGTAGGAGGTGTGCAAGAGGCAGCTGGTCGATGATTCTCTCTCATCAATGTTTCTAACTCTCTATCCCTCTCTCTTTCTCTCTGTAAAAAAAAAAAATCAAATATATATATATATATATATATATATATATATATATATATGATCCTTTTTCTTTTGTTAATAGCTCTCTTGCCCTACACTTCTTCCTATAAAAACCTTCCATTTTGTACAACCCCTTGAACATTCATCTAGTTGCTAGGTGGGATGCTACCTGATTCATGAATTGATTAATAAATTGCTTAAGTAGATATTTAAATGTACTAATTTAAAATTTATTTTTTTAAAATATATTTTATTGATTTTTTTACAGAGAGGAAGGAGAGGAATAGAGAGTTAGAAACGTCTATGAGAGAGAAACATTGTCCAGCTGCCTCGTGCACACCCCATCAGAGATGTGCCCGCAACCAATGTACATGCCCTTGATTGGAACTGAACCTGGGACCTTTCAGTCCGCAGACCGACGCTCTATCCAGTGAGCCAAACTGGTTTCAGGTAAATTTTATTTTTAATGACTTGTTACTTTGGCCAGAAATTTATAAAGAGTGATGAATAACTATATTGGTAAGGGACATTTTTTTGGTCTGTTTCTGATTTTAATAGAAATATCTATAGGGTTTCATTATTGTATTATCTTGGCTATTGATTTGAGATGCATACCATTTATGATATTATAGAAGTATCTTCTATTTGTATATTTTAGAGTTTTTATTCAAGAATGGGCATTTATTTTATGTGTTTTAGTATGTATTAAGGTAATTTCACAGTTTTTCTTTGTTGACCCATTGTTATGTCATAGGAATAGATTTTCTAATATTTAATCATATTTGAATTCTTGGGATAAATCCTTCTTGATAGTGAACCTTTTGTTAAGATAATTTTGATTCAAATTTATTCTTATTTTATTCAAGAGATTTATATCTTTGTTTATAAGTAATATTATTCTATAGTTTCTTTTTTGGCATGTGTGTTGTCTCTGTTTTGTATCAGGTACTGTCAATGAAAACACTTGAAGGAAATGAACCATCTTTGTGGTATTCTCTGAGGGAGGTACAGTGGTTCCATTTGCTCTGGATTACACTTTGTACATAATGAAAAATTTATTATTTCCTTATCATTTATATAAAAGTTAATTCAAAATGAACCATGAGCTTAAATGTAAAAACATGAAACTAAAAAATTTTAGAAAAACACATGGAAGAAAATCGTGGGGACCTAGGGCTTGGAGAAGTGTTCTTAGACATTACACCAAAACAAGAGTTATGTTGTAGGCTGAAGAATGGTTTCCCCCACATCCTAATTCCTGGAATTTAAAATTTTCACCTTACATGGCTAAAGGGACTTTGCAGATATGGTTGAAAGATGGGGAGATTATCCTGAATAATTTATGTGGGCCCAATGTAATTACCGGGGTCCTTATAAGAGGGAGCCAAGAAGGTAAGAGGCAGAGAAGATGTGACAATAAAAGCAGAGCTCAGAATGATGCCTTTGCTGGAAGAGGGTCATGAATCTGACACAATAGGGACTTGGGTCTGAGAATGAAACAATACTGAATGTCTAGGAATCAAAGTTAAGACCAGGTAGCCAGAAAATGTTAAAACCACTCTTCCACATGCACAGTTGATTAAGGATTGGCCACAATTTGACTTTCCTGGGGTGGTGGTAATGAGCAACACCACCATCTTCTCTTTTCTCTCTTTGTTTGGTTGCTATTGTTTTAATTTTAAAGTATTTTTTTATTGATTTCAGAGAGGAAGGGAGAGGGAGAGAGAGATAGAAACATCAATGATGAGAAAGAATCATTGATTGGCCGCCTCCTGCACTCCTTCTCCTGGAGATTGAGCCTGTAACCCGGTCACGTGCACTTGACCGGAATGGAACCCAGGACCCTTCAGTCTGCAGGCTGACACTCTATTCACTGAGCCAAACTGGTGAGGGCTATTGTTTTAATTTTTTTTTAAATTTATCTTTATTGCTGAAAGTATTACCGATGTCCCCCTTTTCCCCAGTTGACCCCCTCCACCCCACTCCTGCCCATCCCCAGGTCTTCTCCACACTATTGTCTGTCCATGGGCTATACATATATGCATATAAACTCATTGGTTAATCTTTTCCTGCCCCCCTCTTCCTTCTGAAATGCATTAGTCTATTGTATGCTTCAATGTTTCTGACCTTTTTTGTTCATCAGTTATTTTGTTCATTAAATTCCACATATGAGTGAGATCGTGTGATATTGTCTTTCTCTGACTGGCTTATTTCACTTAGATAATACTCTCCAGGTCCTTCCATACTGTTTCCAGGGATAAGAGATCCTAATTTTTTTTTATTTTTTTTTTTTACAGCTGCTTAGTATTCCATTGGCAACACCACCATCTTGTCCCAACAGTGCAGGTGTGGAGATGCGGATATAGATGCCAAGCAACTTTACAGAAAGAGAAAGTAACCCCACTCTGGCATGGAAAATTTCACTCCTGAACCCTACACAAGCCTGCCTTTTTGAGCAACCCCACTTTGTCCCCAGCTTATAAAAACAGCCTAGTAGAAGCGGCCCCCAAGCCAGTTCAGAGGGACTTCCTTTCCTCTGTGCTGCCTCCCTTGTGCTCAAGCATAAGTTTAATAAAATCTGTCTGGGGTTTCTCTGGGGATTCCTATTTCTATCTTGGGTAATCTAAGAACACCAACACAAGTGACAAAGTGAGGAATGTGGACAGTTTTTAAAAGCAGGAAAAGGCAAAAAATGGATTCTCTCTTAAGAGTTTACAGAAGGAATGCAATCTTGCCAACACCTTGATTTTAGACCAGTGAGACCTCCCCCCCCCCCTTTTTTTTTTTTAAGTTTTTCACTTCCAGAATTTGAAGATAATAAATTTGTTGTTTTAAGTAGCTAAGTTTGTGGTAATTTGTTACAGCTCCAATGTAAACTGATACATTAACAAAATAAAAAATTGAGTGGGAATTAAAGCATGGGAGGGAGAAGCAGGGTCACTCAAAAACTCAGTTACCTAGGTCACCCTGGACTTTCTAAAAGGGAAATTTCTTGGATGAAGTGGCCTGGCTCTTTATCTGATTAAGTAGCTTCCAATATGTTTATTTGAGATGGATGTCTCTGAAATGAATGCCTTGGCAATCAAAAAAGATACCTTTTTGACACTTACGTTACAATAAAAAAAAAAAGCTAATTATCAGGCACTTTTACTACAATCTTCCTAATAGCTAATGATATTGAATATGTTTTCGTGTGCTTATTTGCTGTCTATAAATCCTCTTCAGTGAAATGTCTCTTCATGTCTTTTGCTCATTTTCTAATTGGATTGATTAGATGTTTGTTTGTTTGTTTTACTGCTGAGGGTTATTTATATAGTCTAGACACTAGTCCTTTGTTGGATATATGGTTTGCAGATGCTTTCTCCCAGTGTATAGCTTGCTTTTTCACCCTCCTTAACAGGGTCTTTTGCTTTAGTTTTTATTTTTAGTTTTGGTGAAGTCCAATTTATCAAATTTTCCTTTTGTTAATGTGAATATATAATTGCTCCTGCATCATTTATTGAAAAGAGTATTCTTTCCCTCTATTGAACTGTCTTGGAACCCTTGGCAAAAAGCAATTGAGCATGAATGTATGGGTTTGCTTCTGGACTCCCAATTCATTCTATTGATATAGAAATGTTTGTGTGTTTCTTTCATTATTGTTATTTTTTTCTGAGGGGGACCACTCTGAGTAGAATCCATGTCATTCCCCCCCACCACCACCACCACACACACACTTACGAGCTAATTTAAGTGGGGTGCCATGCAACCTCATTGAGGAAAATTAAGCTGATTAATAGGTCTCCAGGAAATGAGAAATAGAAAGTGTGGTGATTGGTGCATTAGAAAGAATTTTGGATTGGAATTAACAAGACCTGTATTTGGATGACAGTTCTATCCAGAGATACAGGCAAGTTACTTAACCTCTATGAGTTTTAGCTACTGTGAAATGGAGATGGTGGCAATCTTGCAGGGTTGGTGTTAGCATTAAGAGACAAAAGTTTGGAAAATGATGGCATAGTCCTTGGTACACAGTAAGTACTTTACATAAAGCAGATTCACAGCTGGTGGATGGTCTGTGGCTCCCTTCTTTGTGACCCAGGATAGTTATGTGGGATCAGGAGGGATGGGCTCCTTAGTGTCAGTCCCCACCATTCTGCTCCTATCTCCTGCACTGTGCAGCAGTTATGGTTCCATTCCCTCACATTTTCTGTCAGGAGCAGTATAAAGGGCAGATGAAGAGGAAAATGGCTCTTCACAGACCAGCTTTCTGGCTAGATTAGAGGGAAGTACAATAGTGAACCACAAAGTAAGTAGGAAATAGTCATATCTGGTTTTACATATCTAGAGCTTTATTTTAATAAAAGAAACAGCATAACTGCATGCAACAGTTCTTGTTAATGTGGAATTGTGTCACAACTGAAGGAATCTTTCCTGCTTGGGTCAAGAAACCACAGTTTAAGTCCCCAGTTTATCTTTTGGTGGTCTCAGATTGTAAGGAAGAGGTTTAGGAAGAAACAAACCATCCCTGTTTTCAATAAGTCTTCTAAGTATAAACCCAAATAGTGATGGTGTCACTAAGGCTCAGGAGAAAGGAGCATTGTGTTCTTTGGCTTCTCATTCTGATTAGAGAGTTGGTTGGAGTCATGGGGCAAAAAAGATCTGTTGACTCACAAGACTGCTTGCTCAACTGGGTTGTTGCCCAGTCTTCTCCTGTTCCTCTAATTCCTTTCCCCAAATCTGATTCATTGAGCACTTTCTGGCTTGGTTGGCTCCTATCTCACACCCAAGATCCTCTACTCTCTCCAAATTCTTCTTTCCATGTGACCTTACTTGGACCCCTCAATGCTTTGAGAGTTCAATAATAAGGATATCCAGCTCTTGTTATATGATTGTCAGCTCCTGGGTCTCAGGAAGGCCATACTGAACTTTGTGCTGGTCAAACAACTTGCGCACGGCATTGATGTAGAGTGTGTGGTATTTGTCCACGGTCTTCTTGTCTGGACTCTTAATCATGGGGATTGGCAGGGGCTCCCCAACTGTGGGGAAGAAGAGACAAGCATCAGAACTCCCTCCCAACTCAAATTACCCATCCCTCAAAGGGGACCACATGCTGAAACTCAGTGTCTGGGTCCCCTTCCCTTTCTTTTTTTTTTTTTTCTTCTGTCCAAACCTTATGCTTTCCCATAATTTCCAAATACCTAACTTCACATATGCTCAAGAGAATGAGAATAAGCTCAGGAGAGTGCTGAAGGAATAATTATGCTCTCATGATAGCTGTTGAACTCTGTTCTACTGTGAATGGCCATAACTCTTATCTGTTCAGTTGTCCTTCCCACCCTGCTCTCAACCACACCCAATGGACTTTCCATTGTCCATCACAGCTGTGTTCCAGGATCCCTGGGAATCAAGGACCAGGGTGGTTGAGAGATAGTAGAAATCTTACCAACAGTGGTAATGGGCCGATTGAAAGGCAGAAAGCCCCAGGATTCTTGAGTGAGGCCTCGGCCATGGAAGGTACAGAAATTTAGTCCCAGGATTTTTTTGAATGTGTCCTGGAAGCCTTTTTGAAAGAACCTTAACCATGTGCCCTCAGGGAAGGTCTCTTGATTGTACACCTCATTCTCTCCAAAGGAATAAGAAGGGACAAGGTGTGCTCTGCAAAGAAAAGGACAGAAGTGTAAGTTCTCCCAGGAAACTTCCTCTAGTGAAATCCTAGCCAAGGTGGGAAACCTGTAAATCTCTCCATTATAGGACAAGAACCCAAATATCTTCAGCCTGTGTCTCATTCTTGCCATCCCCCATCCTCCCAACTAAACCTTTTGTGGGTAGCTGCTACACATTTTCCCACGATTGGAAGAAACTAATCTCAGGCAACCTAATTGCCTTTATTGCACCTAGCACCCATAGGGATCTTTCTAAACTACATATCTGGACCCCTCACTTTAAAACTCTTCCAGAGCTCCCAACTTGACCCCATTGCTTAACATGGCCTCTTTTCTGTAGCCCTACCTACCTGGCTAGCTTCCCCTCTCCCCACCTCTTCTTTGCAATCTGCTAAGCCATACTACTTGTGTCAAGTTATTTGTCTGTGCGTCTTTGTATTCTGCTCCCTCTGATGGAAATGTCTTCCTTCTGTCTTCACTTGGTTAATTATATTTTGCCTTTCAATACTCAGCTCTGATTTCATCCCCTGAAGAAACTTTGACCACCTCCAATTCCTTTCCCCACAATATGGATTAGGTGCTCCTTGCCTAATGCTTACCTTTTTCCTGCGCCAACAGTGTCTTAACTCTAATACAGTCATCTTCTTATCTGTCTGACTCCCCAGTTATCTGTCAAACTAATTTAAGTTGGGAACTGTATCCTTTACCCATGAATTCCTAGGGCCTGGTATAGTGCCTGATATGAAAAATTCCCAAGTTCTTTCTCTGTTGGTCTGATCAGCAAATCCTACTGATATTTCAATTCACAATTCAGATGTCACCCATTAATGAAACTTTTACTTTGGATGAAAATCTTTCCTTCAACCAGTACTTTCATGACACTTTGTACATATATCCATTATAACACATCATTCATTCAATACATATTTATTAAATTCTTTCTATGTGCCAGTACTGTTTTAAGCCCTGAAGATACATCATTGTACACAATGGATTAAAAAAATAATCTCTGTCATCATGGAGTTTATCTTTTATTTAGGGAAGATAGATAATAAACAATAATAACAAATAAATAAAAGCAGATATATAAATCAAAGTGGTACTATATAAGCAAATGATAAGTGCAATGGGGAAAAGAAAGCAGGATAGTAGGGATAGACTTTACTGAGAAGACAGACAGCTATAGCACAGGCTCTAAGGCAGGAGCGTATAGCTTGTTGGAGGGACAGCAAGGAAGCCAGTATAGCTCTAATGGAGTGAACAAGGGGGAGATCAGTAGGTCATGAGATCAGAGAGGTGGCCAATGGTAAGATTATTTAAGGTGTTGCAGGATTTTGGAAAGACTTTGGCTTTTGCTTGTAGTGAAATGGGAGTTGTTGGGACATTTGGAATAGTGACATGATTTGGCTTATGTTAATAGGATCATCCTGATAGAGGGAGCATAATGAAGACCATATATGATAAACCCACAGCCAGCGTCATACTCAATGGGCAAAAACTAAAAGTGTTTCCCTTGAGATCAAGAACAAAACAGTGATATCCACTTCACCAGTCTTATTCAACATAGTACTGGAAATCCTAGCCACAGTAATCAGACAAGAAGAAGAAATAAAAGGCAACTAAGCCAAAACTGGTTTGGCTCAGTGGTAGAGCGTTGGTCTGCAGACTGAAAGGTCCCGGGTTCAATTCCAGTCAAGGGCATGTACCTTGGTTACAGGCACATCCCCCGAAGGGGGTGTGCAGGAGGCAGCTGGTCGATGTTTCTCTCTCATCAACATTTCTAGCTCTCTATTTTTCTCTCTTCCTCTCTGTAAAAAAAAAAAATCAATAAAATATATATATTTTTAAAAAGGCCACTAAATTGGAAAGGAATAAAACTGTCATTATTTTCAGATTACATGATATGTATATATAAAACCTTAAAGATTCCACCAAAAAATACTAGATTTAATAAATGAATTCAGCAAAGTAGCAGGACACAAAATTAATATTCAGAAATTGTATATACCAATAGTGAACTATCAGAAAGAGAAATGAAGAAAACAATCCCGTGTGCTATTGTAACACAAAAAGGTACCTAGGAATAAATTTAACCAAGGAAGTAAAATATTCATACTTGGAAAATTATAAGATACTGAAGAAAGAAATTAAAGAAGATACAAATAAGTGGAAGCATATACCACGTTCATGGATAGAAAAATTAACATAATTAAAATGTCTATGTTATCCCAAACAATCTACAGATTCAACACAATTACTATTCAAATAGCAGTGCCATATCTCACAGATATAGAACAAATATTCCAAAAATTTATATGAATTCACAAAAGACCCCAAATAGCATAGCAATCTTGAGAAAAAAGAACAAGGTTGGAGGGATCACACTACTCGGTATCAAACTATACTACAAATCCATAGTAATCAAAACAGCATGGCATTGGCATGATAAAAGGCATATAAAGCAATGTAACATAATATAAACTCAAGCCTTTATGGTCTATTACTATTTTACAGTCTCTTCAATAAATGGCACTAGGAAAATTAAAAACATACAAAAAAGGGAAACTAGACTACCTTTTTACACCATACACAACAACAAACTTCAAATGGATTAAAGACTTACATGTACAGCATGAAACCATAAAAATCTTAGAAGAAAGCGTAGGCAGTCAAATTTCAGATATTTCTTATAGTAATGTTTTTGCCAATATATCTCTTTAGACAAGGGAAACAAAGAAAAAATAAACAAATGGGACCACGTAAAACTAAAAACTTTTTTCACAGCAAAGGAAACCATCAACAAAATGAAAAAACAACTTACTGAATAAAAGAACATGTTCTCTAATGACACATCTAATAAGGAGTTTGTATAAAAAATTTATAAATAACATACAGCTCAACATCAAGAAACATAAACAATCCAATTAAAAAATAGGCAAAGGACCTTCCAAAGAGGACATATGGATGGCCAACAGACATATGAAAAGATGCTCAATGTCATTAATCATCAGAGAGATGCAAATTAAAACAACAATGAGATCTAACATCACACCTATCAGAATGGTGATCATAAATAAATTCACAAGGGTGTAGGGAGAAGGGAACCCTCATGCATCATTGGTAGGAATGCATATTAGTATAACCACTGTAGAAAACAGTATTAAGTTTCCTCAAAAAATAAAAAAATGGAACTGCCTTTGACCTGTGATCCCATTTCTGAAAATATATCCCAAGAAACCCAAAACACTAATTCAAAAGAATATATGCACCCATGTGTTCATTGCAGCATTATTTACAACTAGAGGCCTGATACATGAAATTCATGCAAGAGAAGGCCTTCCTTCTCACCTTGCCCCAGCACTGGCTTCCCTTGAAGTCCCAGCTTCATCCAGAAGGACATCTGGTCTAATTAGCATATTATGCTTTTATTATTATAGATAGCCAAGATTTGGAAACAGTCCAACTGCCCATCAGCAGATGAGTGGATAAATAAGCTGTGGTACATCTACACAATGAAATACTGCCTGGCTATAAAAGAGAATGAACTCTTACCTTTTGTAACAGCATAGATGGACCTGGAGATTATTATGCTAAATGAAATAAGCCAGTCAGAGAAAGGCAAGTGCCATATGATCTCAATTATATGTGGAATCCAATGAACAAAATAAACTGATGAACAAATTAGAAACAGAGGCATGGAACAAACTGACAGCTATGAGAGCAGAAGGGGTTGTGGGCTGGATGAAAGAAGATGAAGATATATATATATTTTTTCACATAGACACAGACAATAGTGTGGTGATAACCAGAGGGGGAAGGGGGTAGGTAGAGGTAGGAAAAGGGGTATACATGGATATGAAAAGAGGCTTTGCTTGAGGCTAAGGGTGCATGGTGCAATGTGCTGATGGCATTTTGCTGAGTGGTACACTTGAAACCTATATGGTTTTGTGAATCAATGTCACCCCAATAAATTCAATTAAAAATAGGATTATCCTAGCTACAGTTGGGAATAGACTCTCGGATATGGGGGAGACAAAGATGGAAAGTGGTTGGATTTTGGATATATTTTGTAATTATATGTGCATACCAGTATGTCTGTCTTCCCTATTAGACTGAGTTCCTTAAAGGCAAGGACTATGTCTTTTTTATTTTTATATAGTCAATGCATTGTACTATGTCTAGCAGAGATCAGGTGCTCAATAACTACTGAATAAATTTATTCTATTTCTCAAACCAGATTATATGCTCTTTGGTGGGGAAGACAGTAATCACATCTTTGTAAAATAAATGTTATTGAGGTAACATTGGTGAACAAAATTATATAGTTTTCAGGTATACAATTCCTACAATATATTATTGGTATATTGTATTGTGGGTTTACAACCCCTACTCAAGTCCCCTTTCATCAGCATTTATACTCTTTGTCCTCTTTTACCTCCTCCCATCCTGCCTTCCCTTAGTAAACATGTCTTATTCATTTTTGCAATTTCTACAACATTAAGCCTAGTGCCTTCCTTGCCCTGAGTAAGATCTCTCTGCCTCTCAGTTAATAGGTTGATAAAGAGTAAATCTGCATTTTCCACATCCCCAGCCAGAAGGCTAATGAGTAGAAGATAAAAGTCTTCTTCTATTGTTCTTTCTCCAACTTCAAGTAAAATAGTGCCCACTGAAACCTGTCTGGAGGCTAAAACACCTTTAAGATACAATGTGAAAAAGTAGAGATAATTAATCAGAGTGAAGAGGGAGTCCCCTTTAATAGGTTTCCAAGGAAAAACACATTCTGGAGATGTGCTACAGAGGATCTATGGCACCCAGACAATAGGGCACAGAACCCACCCTGTCTTCAGTGCCAATTTCACAAAACCTTTACGATGTTTAAGGAAGATGGTAGAAACTCCTGGCCGGCATAAAAGGGCTTCAGCAGCTCCGCCCACCACGATAACCACGGCATTGCCTGAGCCTTTCTGAGACAGCAAATACTTCACGGCCAACTCACTCACGGGGCACACACCTGTGAAACCAAAGAGTCAACAAACTTGATGTCTGAAGATGGGGTAAAGGGATTCCTCTCTGCTATTAATGATGGAGACAGTTCTGTTTCCTGACTACTGTTTCACTCTTCTGTTTTTAATCTCCACATCTTGGGTTACCTTTAGTCTGAGGTTGGTTCTTAGGGTCAGTTGCTTGTGTTGGGAGTCTATGCTACTACAGTTTAGGAGACATTGAGTTCCTCTGCCCACTTCCTCTTACTTCAATATAAATGCTATTGAAGTAAGTATTTATACTAGCCTATCCCTTATCTCTCTACTCATGAATCACTCTCCCCAGAGTGACAACACTGGAGACTCACCAGAGTTCTCTCTACTAGGGTGATCAGGACTAGCCACCACCAACCCACTTCCTCCCTAGAGCATCTCCCTAGAGCCATTGAGTGGGTTTTTTTTTTTGTGTGTGTGTGTGTGTTTTTAAATTTATTTCAGAAAGAAAGTGAGAGGGAGAGATAGGAACATCAATGCTGAGATAGAATCAATAATTGGCTGCCTCCTGCACATCGAGTGGGGTTTCTTGAGAGTAGGCAGGCCCAGGAGCCTGCCCAAACCAAATTGAAATGTAAATGAACCATGGAATTAGGATGACACCCTATTGTTCATTCAACAACAGTCACAGAGTCTTTCCTCACTCCTGCTGCCCATCTTTGCCCTGAACTTACCTTCTATTCTCTCCTAGGATGGCAGAAATTACCCCCAGGCCTCAGTGATTGAGAGAAACTGCTGCTCCAGGTTCATGCCAACCTCAGAGGAGAGTGGAACCATCCTCTGGGACTCTAGTGTTCCCACTTGGTCCCTCCAGAAAAATGTATCTTACCTTTTAATATTTGGCTTTAGTTGTTTTCTGGTTTCCAGAGGATGGATATTTATCCAGAGAGAAGGACATTTGTCACAGTACCCTGGCTTGAAGCCTGGCATGGGAAGGTTGTCCTTGATTCTGACAGATGTTTATTCTTTATTGATTGATGTCTTATGCAAGTTTGAAGGGGTTCCCAGGAGATGAAGGTCACGTGCCAGGAAAATGCCAGCTAATATGAAAGACTTAAAAATGTCTTTAAGACTCCATGGGATGAGAGCTGCTTTATAAATGACTGGCCATGAGAAGCTAACTGATGACCCAGAAAGAATCTGGCAAAATTCATCTGAGTTACCACTTTCATGACCAATTTTTCCAGACATTTGGGTGTGATGTTTGGCATTTGCCTTCTGCTTTCCACTTGGGCTTTGCTCCTCAACTCCATCCTTCTCCTTCTTCCTCCTAATGTATTCATGATAAATCTTACGAATACCAGTAATTTATCTTGTTGCCTAATCATACCCTGCCTCCCAGATCTTGGACAGAATCTGGTGCTTAGCCACATACTCTCCTTACTGGTCCAGTAGGTTCTGGACTCATTTTCTACTAAGTCCTCTTCCAGCAGGGAGTAAGAATTAGACTGACTCTCAGAGCTTAGTGGGGTTGGAGCCCTGAGATAGGTCAGACAGAGGATGGAATGATTTCTTATACTCACCCAAAGACATCACATATTCTCTCACAATTGGGATCCAGAAGATCCATTCCAAGGTTGCTACAGAAGGAGTGATGCCTGGGAAAATCCGAGCAACGTCAGTGGCCTCAGTGGCAAAGTTGATGAAGACACCATATGAGACAATACCATGGGGATGGTTGACAATGATATAGTTGTGTTTAGGAGAAAGGTCATGAGTCTTCACCAGCTGTCAAAGGGAGACCGAGTCAGAACAGTGGATAGGAAGAAGGAAAAGAGGACATGCAGATTCACCCCAGCAGGTAACCTGTGTTTCCCCTAAGGAGTCCAAATTCCTGTTCATTGGGATGTCACCAGGGGTTATGATGCTCAGAGAGACTGACTTAGGTTTGTCACTGTGAGGAAAGGCTGCTATCCTGCCATCTCCTCACCTGCCCATCCATTTTGGGCCCAACCTCTGAGCTTTGACCTTCAACTACTAGCCACCAAACCCTTTGAAAACATGAAGCTGAATGGAAAGGGAGAATCTGAGCAACAGGGTCCAAATGCACCCAGAAGGGGTAGTCACCTTTATTGGGAAGTAATTTCGGAAATATTTCCAGAGGGTCCATTTTCGTACCCAAGCTGAACGCCTACCACCTGTGGGTACAGAAGAAAAGGGAAGAGCAGGTGAGATACTGCCAATTCTTTTACTTTTTCCAGAGGTGGATGATTCTTCCTATAGTCCTCAGGTAAAAAAAAAAGGGGGGGGGCCTTCCATATTTCTATCCAGAGCTGTAGTTACTGTCCCTGGATCCAACCATGGGAAGCCCCTGCATCTGTCCCAAGACCTCAACTTTTTTTGTTTGTTTTGTTAACCCTCACATTTTCCATTGATTTTTAAAGAGAGTGGAAAAAGAGAGACACACACAGAAAAAAATCGATATGAGACACTTCAATTGGTTGCCTCCGCATGTGGTCCCTGACCTAGGATCAAACCTGCAACTGAGGTAGGTGCCCTTGACTGGAATCGAACCCAGGACCCTTAAATCCTTGTGCTGTATTGACTGAGCTAAACCTCAACCTTTTAATTCTTCCTGGGAAGCCTGGCAGAGACCTCTGTTCTCTGCTGACTTTGCTGCCCTCTCTCCCTCCCCTTCTGCTCTCTCTAACCCCCTGTTGCACCTCTCCCCTCTCCATCATCCTCTCTTTTCCTTTCCCTTTCTTTCCTCTCCCCAGTCTTTCTCCCTCTGCCTCTCATATTCTTTCCCTCCACCTCCCTCCATGTAGTTAAACCCTTGTCATAGACAGACAAGGACCACCACTCTTCCAGTCTCTTACCTTGATTGTGGGTGTTCCAATCATAGGCGAGCCAGGCTAAGGTGAGCACGGGCAAGGTCCAGAAATTAGTGAACACCAGAAAGTAGGGTATAAGGACAATCGGAATAGTTCCTGAGGGGACACAAAGGGTTCATGTCCTTCAGTTCTCTTCAATTTTAATATGCCTCTCAAAACTCTGATCTTTGCTCTATACTGAAGGAGCAGGTCAAGGCTAGTGTGAGACCCATCTCTCCTCCCCCAAGCTCCATCTAGTTCTTCTATGGTCCCGGCTGGCTGCTGAGTTCCTGGATCTGGGTCCCCTTGATGGGTGAGATCTTAATTGAGGAAACAGCAGAACCAACTTAGCACATTCCAGTGGAGAGGGGCTGTCTGTAGTGCACAGGCTGCTTGTTGCTGAGAGGAAAACTTTTTAGAAACTGTTTTTTATTAAGTTCAATTTTGGATCATTAAAAATGTCTCAAAGGTTCATTGGGGGAGGGAGGACTGCCACCTCTATTAGCAAAGGGCCACAGAATGCTGTGAAATGCAAATATAGTATCTTATAGCAGTTGGAATTGAATTCCATTTTAAAATCTGCATTCATGAGAAAGGGGCTAAGTACACATCTACATACTATTATAAAAGCATAATATGCAAATTGACCGAACAGAGGAATGGCCTGTCACTATGATACTCAATGCAGGAGCTACCCCCTAGTGGTCAGTGCACTTCTCTGCCAGAAATTGGGCTCATGGCTGGCAAGTGCTGGGGCGGTAGCTGGTAGTGGGAGCCTCTCCTGCCTCTATTGCAGGCAGACATCCCCTGATGGGTTCTGGATTGCCCCCCCCTCCCCCCAGTGCACGAATCTCATGCACTGGGCCCCTCTGGAAAAGTGAATAAAAAAAGAGCCAGCTAAGGGAACGACTTCTTTGACCAGGAAACCACATTGTGGTAGAAATATTTCAGAGAAGAAGAAAATCAAGAGTTACTTACCCATAGGTTTGTCTCCTACCGTTTGAGATAAAAATAAAACAAAACAAAATGACACAATGGGCATTTCTTTAAAAAAAATCATGTTGCCAAAACACGGTTGGCTCAGTGGCACATCCCCAGAAGGGGGTGTGCAAGAGGCAGCTGGTTGGTGTTTCTCTCTCATCGATGTTTCTAGTTCTCTATCCCTCTCCCTCTCTGTGGAAAATCAATAAAATAAAGAACTTCTTCACTGATACTGCCCCTAGGGCAATGGAAGCTAAAGAGAAAATAAACAAATGGAACTTCATCAAAATAAAAAGCTTTTTTACAGCAAAAGAAATCATCAACAAAACAACAAGAAAACCCACTGTATGGGAGAACATATTTGCAAATGTTATCACTGATAAAGGTTTTATCTCCAACATCTACAGACAGCTTATACAACTAAATAAAAGGAAAATGAATGATCCAATTAAAAAATGGGCAATGGACCTAAATAGAATATTTTCAAAAGAAGACAGAAGGAAGGCCAAGAGGCACATGGAAACATGCTCAAAGTCACTAATTATCCGAGAGATGCAAATCAAAACAACAATGCGGTACCATCTCACACCTGTCAGAATGGCCAACATCAACAAATCTACAAACGACAAGTGTTGGCGAGGTTGTGGAGAAAAAGGAACTCTCGTGCACTGCTGGTGGGAATGCAGACTGGTGCAACCACTGTGGAGAACAGTGTGGAGTTTCCTCAAAAAACTGAAAATGGAACTCCCATTTGACCCAGTAATCCCACTCCTAAGATTATATCCCAAGAAACTTTAAACACCAATCAGAAAGGATATATGTACCCCTATGTTCATAGCAGTACAATCTACAATAGCTAGGATTTGGAAACAGCCCAGGTGCCTGTCAGCAGATGATTGGATCAAAAAACCATGGTATATCTACACAATGGAATACTATGCTGCCATAAAAAAGAAGGAATTCTCATCATTTGCAGCAACCTGGATGGAATTGGAGAACATCATGCTGAGTGAAATAAGCCAGTCAATGAAAGAGAAACACCACATGACCTCACTCATTTATGGATAATAAAGAACATTATAAAATGATGAACCAAAAGATAGATATAGAGACAGTAAAGCAACAGCAGACTGTCAAATTACAGCGGGGAGGGGAGGGAGATCTGGGGGAGATAAGAGATCAACCGAAGGACTTGTATACGTGCGTGTAAGTACAACCAATGGACACAAAACTCTGGAGAAGGTGGGTATGTATGGGAAGGGGGAGTAATGGTAAAATATGTACACAGATAATAATTTAATAAAAAAATAAAATTAAAAAAAATAAATTAAAAAAAGAGATAGAGATACATCGACCAGCTGCCTCTTCTCTTGCACACCCCCCACTGAGGATGTGCCCGCAACCAAGGTATGTGCCCTTTGACCGGAATTGAACCCGGGACCTTTCAGTCTGCAGGCCGACGCTCTATCCACTGAGCCAAACCGGTTTCTGCTGAACTGAATTAATTTTCTTTACCATCTTCCATCTCTCTCCATGTATGAGTGATTTAAATTTTATAAAATAAAACCAGTGCAAATATAAAAAAAAGAAAATCAATAATATATATATATATATATATATATATATATATATATATATATATTGATTTATATATATGAATAGAAGAAACCTTAATGATGGGCTGAATTCCCTTTGTAAGAGCTGGCTGAGATGGTTGTTGTAAGCATGCTGATTAAATAAGAGATAGTGGTGGGAGGGATTTTATGAGAAACTTGTCATGGATAAGAGTCTTAACACCTCTGACCCTCATGAAATATGAGTGTTAATTTGCTGGATAAGCTTCAGAAGAAAACTCGATAAAATTTAATAAGAATGATTATTAATTAAAGGTAGTCTAAGTGTATCCTTTCTTTGATATCTTTCTTCAAATAAATTTACTTTGTATCCCTATCATTTAAAATGAGCCTTACACACAGAAGGTGTTTAACAAATATCTCTAGACTGACTGAAAGATAAATGTTTTCTCTTTTCAAGAGTAGGTAAACTTAAATGATTAGTGTTTAGTAAGCATTTATGTTATTTAAGTGAGCTGTTGTTTTTTTTAAAAGCATAGATGGATTAATTGTGTGCCTTATATCCAATCTCTTTCAACTACCCACAAGTACCAAAGGTAATCTAAAAGAGCCATACCTGGAGAAATATCATCCCCCTTGTGGAATCTATTTGAACTGCAGGTGTGGCATCTCAGGAGACTATAAGTATCTATGAGGGCAAGCCTGCCAGACCCAGCCTGTGTGAATGTAATCATTGTCACTCAAGGTGACAGAAGTGGGATTTAAAGAAGTAGGAGGAACAGAAGCCAAACATGGAAGAGCTAAAGCTCATGGAACAAGAAGTTCCTTCACAAAAATTGAGGGAATCTGAGGCAAGAATGATGAAGAACAACCATTTGTATGTATGTATGTTTGTATGTGTGACCCTTCCTTAGATATTGTGGCCTTGATACCAGGAAATGCTTCCAGAATCTTGTCCATGTTCAAGGGAGAACTCTTAGAGTGGATTATCAATGAGAAAGTTCACACAAAATAAGCTCCTAATTTAGTTTTTACTAAATATAGTTAAGTTGTTCTACTAGATATGTACTGTGGTATCTCATCATAATTATAACTTGTCTTTTCCTAATATAGTTTAACCTCTATTCTAGATGTTGATTCATTCCAAAATGTTGTTCAAAAACGATTTGTTTGAAAACTGAATCACCTTTCCCATTGGAAATAATGTAATTTGAATTAATCCATTCCAGACCCCCAAATGATTCCCTGTTTTAACCATTATTATATAGAGTACATGTCTAATGTACTGTTTAATCTATAAACACTTCTTTCCTTAAATTTATCAAACTACCACTACTAGCCTTAAATGAATTTTTCTATTTAAAAAAATAAATCTTCATTGTTCAGATTATTACAGTTGTTCCTCCCACACCTCATAATTCCCCTCCACCCGGTTCCCATCCCACCCTCTGCCTTTACCCCCCTCCCACTGTCTTCATTCTTAGGTGTACAATTTTTGTCCAATCTCTTCCTGAACCCCCCCACACCCTTTTCCCCCTGAGAATTATCAGCCCGCTCTCTTTCTATGCCCCTGATTCTATTATATTCACTAGTGTTTTCTGTTCATCAGATTTTTTACTCACTTGATTTTTAGAGTCACTTGATAGATCTGTATTTGTTGTTCATAATTTTTATTTTAACCTTTTTCTTCTTCCTTTTCTTAAAGAATACCTTTCAGCATTTCATATTATACTGGTTTGGTGGTGATGAACTCTTTTAGCTTTTTCTTATCTGTGAAGCTCTTTATCTGACCTTCAATTCTGAATTATAGCTTTGCTGGGTCAAATAATCTTGGTTGTAGGTTCTTGCTATTCATCACTTTGAATATTTCTTGCCACTCCCTTCTGGCCTGCATAGTTTCTGTTGAGAAATCAGCTGACAGTCATATGGGTACTCCCTTGTAGGTAATTAACTGTTTTTCTCTTGCTGCTTTCTCTTTGTCTTTTGCTTTTGGCATTTTAATTTTAATATTTTCTCTTTGTCTTTTGCTCTTGGCATTTTAATTATGATGTATCTTGGTGTAGTCCTCTTTGGATTCATTTTATTTGGGGTTCTGTGCACTTCCTGGATTTGTAAGTCTATTTCTTTCACCAGGTAGGGGAAGTTTTATGTCATTATTTCTTCAAATAGGTTTTCAATATCTTGTTCTCTTTATTCTTCTGGCATCCCCATAATTCGGATGTTGGTATGCTTGAAGTTGTCCCAGAGGCTCCTTACACTATCTTCATATTTTTGGATTCATTTTCTTTTTGCTTTTCTGGTTGGGTATTTTTTTGCTTCTTCGTATTTCAAATCTTTGACTTGATTCTTGTAATCCTCTCATATGCTGTTGGATCTCTGTATATTATTCTTTATTTCAGTCAGTGTATTTTTAATTTCTAGTTGGTTCCTTTTCATATCCTTGAGGTTCTCACTAAATTTATTGGCCATTTATAGAAAATTCTTGAAAAATCTTATAACCATGGTTTTGAACTCTATATCCAGAAGTTTGCTTTCCTCTATTTCTTTCTCTTGTGACCTGTT